AGAGAGAGGATGTCATGCAACATGGACTTCCATCTGATCTTCAAGCAGGGATGTTGCAGTTAGTTGCCTCCCAGAAAACCTCTCTCTCCGTTTCTTCTGTAGTTTCTGGTGGAGTGTAGACCGAACGTTTCCATGGAGATCAGCCGTGTGTCTCTGAATTTGAATCTTTTACTTCCTCAGGTTTCTTTCAGTCTTTACTCTTCACCACCTCCCTTTTCTCTTTTCTGTCTTTCTTTTAACTGACGAAGCATTTTGAGGCTTTTGCTGTATCATTCTCTCTTTGGCTCTTTTCCTGAAGGGAGGGAAAAAGTCAACGTTATAATCCCTGGCCAGGAAATTGGTTTGGGTCATTTGTGTTTAAAAACATTCAAAATGTGAGATAACACTTCAGTAAAACACTTTATTTATTATATTTATTGAGTTAGATCCACATTAGTCTCAGTGTTATAACCACGGCTACTCTCCTGACCTGTATCTGTGTGGTTTTATACATTTCACTGCTGCCACGTGTTTGGCTGATTGGATAGCTGAATGAAAAAGCAGCTGCACTAATAAAGTGTACGTCGTCCTCGTTGAACCGTCGTTTGGAGTTTCTCCTCTCTCAGACCAGACGTAGACTCAGACTGTGACTACTGGCCTGTGAGCATTGCTCTAGCGGTTCTGTCTTTTGCTTCCGCTCTCCGTGTCGACCTCTTCACGCCCTCCTCCCCGTGTCCCACTGTCTCCCTCTGGGTGTCTGACTGGATAGCTGCTTGACAGGAATCGGAGGGCAGAGCTCGGAAACTCAGCTCCATTGACCCGGAATGGATCTCCGATACTTTGATCCTCTTTGTCTTTGAAACTACCCACCCTGCTGGGATGGACTCTCCTGTCACCCCCCCACATCCTGCTACTCCTTTATCTGCCGGCTCTGACTTTTAGACTAATACTCAGTGGCATTTACACCCAGACAACTCATGTATTTATTATGTGGACATGAGGATTTGATCATATCAAGTCATTGTCCTTTCCGCCCCCCCGCTGTTTTGCCTTTATTCCTCTTTCTTGCCTCTTGGTTGTTCCAAAATGAAAGGCAAGACGAGGTCAAGACCCTCTGTATTGCAGCTGTCTGTTTTTGTTTGTTTTTTTAAACGATGCGCATGTAGACTTTTTCACTTCCTCAACTTTCTGGAGAAGAACTTCTTCCCTTGTGTTCTCTTCAATCAAATATATTTTTAGGAATATTTAAATATGAATTTCAGGTCATTTGGAGATATTTTCTCATCCTGTGTTCTTCAAACAAGCACAGAGAAAAGGTCCAACCGAACACTGCCATGTACTATTAATGAAAGGCATCCTAGTTAGTCAGGATCAAACCTGAATCTTACATGCGTACATCAAAGCGGTCGTAGTTGTGTGTCATGTTTGCTGGTCTTCTAAAACCTGAAATCAGTGCCTCACAGATGCATAAATATTTGAATATCAATGTGTTGCGGTTTGACTGACTTTGATTTTTTCCTTCGCTTCATGGAACAGACGCCGCCGTGGTATCTTCTGTTTACTATTATACTGGCTCCTAAGCAGGCTACCGTCCCCGGTGCCTTCATTGAGGGCAAACACAAACTCAGAAGCCACGCTTTGATGTGTAGAAGAAGAGGAGGGCCTGGATGTGAGGTTTGACACCAGGTTAGCGAGCGGGCTCCTCCCGTCGCAGATGTTTTTCCCGCTTCAGTCCCAGTTTCCACATCAGACCTGTGCCGATATGTGTTCCTGGGGAATTTTGTCTCCTGCTAATGACCCCATTAGTCTATCAGGAGGAGGGGGGTGGAGGGGGCGGGGTTCGGTGCTGTGGTGACATCTCTGTCTGAGTTGACCTGTCTAGATGTGTAGCTGTCGCTTGGGGGCGCGGGGAGAGGGCTCGCTTAATGGACTGCGTCAACTCACCTGACAAAACAATCACATTAACGCGCCCGGTTGCCACGGCAGCAAATGAGCACTTGCACTCACCTGCAGCATAATTTGATTACTTTTGACCAATTTAATTTTGCAAATGGAGATGTGTGTGTTCACCCGGAAAAATCAACACAATTATGACGGCAATTTGTCAAAGGTGAGAGCTATTTTGATGGAAGAATATTCAGATGTTACATTAGAAAATTAATTATTATCTTCCTGTAAACTTTTCCGGTCTTTGTGGATTCTTTTTTCATTAGAACCGAGCCAGCTCTCACTGAGAGCTGGCGCTTGATATCTCGTACACAGGTGTGCGTGTGTGTAGAGTATAACGGCCGCCTACCGCATTCAGACAAGTAGTTTGAGGTCTTGTGGAGATGATTTAGTGATGTGAAATATCTAGTGACATTGCCGTAGCCTTCGTCTTGGCCTCGAGTCCTCCCAAAAAAAAAAAAGGAGTCTGGTTTCAGACAGCTGTCTGTCCCATCAGAGCAGATTAACTTAGAATATGTCTGAAATGTCGTTTCCTTCCCGGATCTGTCCCTCGTCTTTTTCTATTTTCTTTCCTTTTTGTCATCTGTCAATCATCTCTCTGTGACTGAGGGGGATTTAATCACAAGTCTCCCTAATTTTTTATTTTTGTATTATATATTTGGTGTTTTAATGCAGCAAATCAGACTCTTAAGCCTTTGAATCACACAGTTGAACCACCAGCATTTTGTCCCCGACCACTATGAAAATATGTCAAATCACAAATGAAAGTACGGATTATGTACCGTGTATTCAAAGACAAAAAATAAAACAGTGTGATGCGCCAAGTATGTTCATATCGTCTTATGATACAAAATCAAAAATAAATGAGCAGTTGATTACATTACCAATCAGTCAAAGTGCTGCATGAAAAAAACGTACAATTAACGGTTTTGTGAATAAAATCTCAGTTAATAGTGAAAAAAATTTGCCACATGCTCATTTTAGAAGCTGGAAGCAGCAGATGTGAGATTTCAGCTCTTACCACTTGTAAGTTTAAGGAAGTAAGAAGTGACAGAGGCAGAGTTACAGCCGGGGTTTTATAAATACTGAGGTCAGAAGTTCAAGTCACCCGCCCCCAAACACCTTCAAGAGTTTGGTCCAGCACAAAAATAAAAAATAAATAAAGTTTCAGAGCCATCTAAACACTTTTTATTGGCCTAACGATAGCAAAGTTTAAATGTACCGAGTCTAAAGAATACTGGAATCAATCTTTAAAACATCCACCAACTGTTTGTTTTTAATTGTAAAATGTAAAACAAAACAATCTCCTCAAAAAACAAGCCGGGGACACGACTTTGTCGAGGCAACGCGGCAGCTGTTTACTCTTAAAATATACAGAAGATTTGCAAACGAGCAAAACCAACAACCAAACCACAGATTCCCATAAAGAGCAACAAAAAGCCAAAACACACACACCTATAAAACCAGGGCCAACGAGAAACAAACGGCCATAATGAGCCACATTCCAACAGACCAGGTGATTCTAGCCAATCACCTTCCCTCCATCATTTTGAATGAACGGAGCACATGTTGCTGCTGTTGGCTGCCGTATCTGTCTGTATGGTTCGCTGTGTCAGAACTTTGCAAAATATGTATGTGCACAGGTGCACACACACACACCTACGATGTTACTCATAGTCGCACACACAAACCTGCAGAGTCACGTACACAGACAGGCGCACACTGAGCAACTGTGTAATCGGCTTTCCCCTTTCCACCCACAAAAAAAAAAAATCCCAAGAATCACTTGAGTGTGAAATGCTGAAAACGTCCTGCATCCAAATCATATCAAGAGCGCAGCAGATTCCCTCCGCTGTTTGCCTGTTTTGTTTATTTGGCTCCTGCATACTGGCAGATTGAGCTCTCGCTGTAATGACCATGCATTGTCAGGCCCACGATTGTCGGGAGGGAAAGACAGGACTTGCTGCACTCGCAAGAGCTGCCATGACTCTAAATCCACATTAACAACAGCAGCTACTGCCAAGGTACGACAATGCTGCGAGGCATCTGATGCCTTGGTCTGTCCGGCCCGCTATGTCTAAGCCCTGCTGTGGAGAGTCCAACATCAGATACTGAAGTTGTTTTGAGAGAGGTATGACATCCTGCTGGACTGTGAGAGGGAGCCGGTGAAAAGGGAGAGAAGAAGAGACAGGAAGGTGGGAGATACGCTTCGGTGACTTGAGCGTTAGCCCTCTTGTCTCCTGCTGAAGCCAGACAACACTGGCTGGGGAGAGGAAAATCGTTTTCTGGATGTTGTGCCTGCCAGTCGGACGGTGTGTCTCCACCTGTCGCACACCGGCTGAGACTTTTCACTCGTCTCTCAGTTAGAGCTCAATGAGAATTTTAATTGTCTAGCACTTAAAAAAAAAAATACATTTAACAGAGTGCTTTACACATAATACATGAATACATTAAAATCCAATTATACATTGGTTATAGTCATTTTCCAAACTTACTTCTTTTTATTTATTTATTTATCTTTATTCGACAACTGAAGGGAAATGAGAAACAAAATTGATTCACAGGGGCCAACAGGGTTTCATTTATATGTTAAAGTCCCACTCTCCAGATTTAAATTGTAAATACATAAAGTATTGGAAATGTGTGAAGTTGCAGTAAAGTTTTTTAAATTTTTTTTATTTTAATGGACTGTTTAATTTTACGTCATTTTTAATCTTTTGGTCCAATGTGTCTTGAATTAACAAATCTTAAATTTTTTATATACATACTGTATACAAGTATTATATATTTTATGCATGTCTTTTCTCCTTAACTAATTAAGTTGATCCTTCATATTAAATATTGAAAAATTACTTCCTATAATCAGTGTGTGTACATAGACAAACAAAAGGAGTCCCACAATAGAACCTTGTGGTGCTCCACATTTCACCTCCGTAGTGGAGGAAGAGGAATGTACAAAAATCCATAACAATCTCACAGCCAATAGATGGTCATTCATTAGTAAGTCACAGCTACTTCTAAAACATCATGTTCCATGTTTCTCTCCTGACTCTCTCTTCTCTCTGGGCTTCTAGGTGTTGCTATAGCCAGCGCTCTGGTGGACACATCACAACAGCGAGCGATGGACCTCAAGGAACGAGGCCTCGGTCTGAAGCACCGCAAACACACCGTGCACCATCAAGGGACCTGCGTATGAACTGGATGCCCACATATCCACGTGTCCCCGGGGGGTGGGGGTGGGGGGGGTTTCACTGGAGATATTGTCACTGGCTTTATACAAGGGGAAACACTGTAAACACCACACAAAGCCTGCAACAATTGGGTCTGGATGATGCTTAAAGTGGATTTTGAAGGAGGGAAGGAATGGATGGGCACCCAAACTGGGACTTGTGGTCCCTTTCTTCCCTGGATTAGATGGAAAACTTCATCAACATTCTCCTTTTGTCCAACAATTGGAAAACTAATTGCAGACCGACAAAGAGAATGTGTTTCTCCATCATAGCTTTGGTCAGATATTTACCAGGAGAGCTGGCAGACTGTTCTGCTTACATGCCATGTGGCTCTGCGTCTCCAGGGTTCTGCTTGTCATTTTTCCACCAATAAAACCAAACTAAATGGCTTTGAGCTCCAGTGGAAGATAATGAGCCGAAATGAAGTCCTCCTGACTTACAAACCCACTCGGACTCAGACCAAACTAGATCAATGCAAAAACACTGCGGTGGGTGATGTTCTGTGACGAGGAGAAAGTCTCCTCTGGGAATCTTAAAGACTACTGTTGTTGAGACGTTGAAGAACTGCATCTTGCTACCAAGATCTTTGGATGTAACTGTTAAAACATGTCCGTTATGAAATACATTTGATTTTTGTTTTTCCCCGCACCGACATTTGAATTCCTACATTTTGATATCTGCTCAGGTCCTCTGTAATGGAAAGGTCCATTACCTGTAGATGCGGGCCTTCTACACATCTGTATATGCACTATAAGTGAAATGCTTTACCAGTACATTAGGGCCCCTTGTGGGATAATAATATGCAACTGATCATCCAAATGTAATGTTTAGTCTGGGCTGCAGTGTAACCTTAAGGGCGGTATCAAACACATACTACTGATGGTTTTCATATGCCTATTATTTCATTTATGACTGTGAAGCTGCAGTATACATCTTTTCTCATGACCTCCAGTAAATTTCCTGCCTGTTTATTTGTGATACACAAACGTTTATATAACATGTCTCCTTATGTGATATTTATTAATTATGCAAATTACAGTTAAACAATAATTTAGCAAGTTTACAAATGCACTAAGGATTTTTTTTTAAACAGAAAGACTAAATTGATTTTATAGAGCAGGTCTGTGCAGTATTCCCTTTTTATGCTTCTACACTCAGTATCTCTTCATTTCCAAAGGATTTATTTACATGGCAAACACCATATTGTATGTGTATCATAGCAAGTGATGTCAAGTCCTTCCTTTTACCAAATATCTTAAACCTTAAACTTCATTTATTATTGTAAAGTCACTTTTTATCAACTGCACATACACAGTAGAGTTACGTCTTTATGCACATGTATCGTTTATATATTGAGTCTGACTGTTTTCATTCAGACGTTTTGACTCCATGTAATTTTGCACCAGTTTGTTGTTGAGACTTCTATTAACAAAGGGCAGCTCACATCACTGTTTTTGTCCATATGAGCATAAAAACTGTACATTTACAATTAAAACATTTTGATGCCTCTTCGTATGGTAATTGTAACCGACGGACTGTGTGTGTTCTTACCTCTGGTTTGTGTGACGGTGTATTGATCGGCATTCTCACGATGTCAGTAGGGTCAGATGACGGCTCGTACTATAGACTCTGCCATCCAACACCGCTGATGGAGTTACAACCTGAGTGGACAAACGTATTGAATAACACATCAGGTTAATGTTAATAATAATCATAGCTCTGTTACAGCTAATTATTACTGTCAACACTCAATCACAACCGTTCACATTCAAGGTACTACTTCATTTTCCCGTCTAACACAACCGCCAGCCTGAAAAACCAAGTCATATAAAGGTTTCAGCTGCAGAACAGCACCGAGTGATTCCCATGGTGCTGTGCATATCCTCGGTCTCCGGAGTGACCCTGTGACATTTCTACTTTCTGAACAAAATCTGACCTGGCATGTCCACTGGAATCACTTCAGAAGGGAGTGTTTGCTCTTTAGCAACTACATTTCCAATACACACACAGTGCCCATTGTTCTGGACTCCATGATATCAAGAAGTGTTTTTTTTTGTTTTGTTTTGTTTGGTTTTGGTTTTTTGTAAATGGGAAGGACAAAAAAATTAGACACACCTCTTAATATAATGTACTCAGTAACAAACATGTATTTGAATATACACATTTCCCCCAATGTCAACAGGTGTTCCTAATAATGTGACCACCGAGTGTATTTTTCAGTTTCTGTTCATTCAGATGTGGTAATCTAAATCTAAATCTTATATCAACATTTACTGAATACTGTGCACCAGGGCTGAAGAGTTAATCAAAATATTATCAATATCACAATGTGGCCAAGTGCAATAAATTTGATAAAGGTAAACATATCACAACATATCATAAATTAAACATTGTGGTGCTACAGAGACGCCCCGGCCCACAAATCATATTCTCCAAGCACGAAGAAAAATGTTTGTTTGGAACAAGACCCGACAAATCAATCAAGCGATCGCGATATCTACCAAATTAATTGCAATATGAATTTTAGTTTCAGTTTTTTGCATATCATTCAGCCCGACTGTACACAAACATCCGAGGAAAGACCAACACTACTTACACACAAGAAAACATTCCTACACTAAAACTAGATGAGGACAAAGCAACAAATAAGTCGTGACAATAAATAGTCACTTCTAAACGTTCACAGACTTCAGCTCCAGCAAAAATACACCCAGCACATACATACAAAAAAAACCCCATTGTGGACACCAACACACTGGCTGCAGTGAATCGTCTACAGCAGCCGTGACAGATCTGCACATCAAGTGGACAGAAGAGATTATGTAAAGATAAGACTATGGGATTTATTGAGCATGTTCATGTTCTGCAGAAGATAAACACCAACCTCAGGGTCAAGACGTCAACTTTGCATGAACAACATCTGCGGTTTCTCACTGCAGACCTTGTGTCCTGTCAAACGCAGGTGTAATAATAATAATAACCTTCATAACGGCTCCTAAGGCTCTGCTATTGTGCACAAACATATTTATACTTTTTATGTGTAGTGAGCATCACAGTGCGGCTTTGTTTACAAATGTGGTGCCACATACAGATGCAGTTTATAGATATACACAAAATAAATGCAGTCTTTTTATGTCTACATTGCCTCTCTAACAAATGGCTGCTGTGTGTTTTTAAAATGAACCACGGATTATGTCCTTCATCATGAGGCAGTGGGGGCGGGATTGTCGAAGGGATCTCAACATCTTCAAGAATTAGACACTTTTATGCAAACGAGGAACTAGAACCAGAAGAAAACAACCAGCGTGCATTCTTTCCAGGGAACAGCAGAGGAGGATCTAGTGGCTGCAGCTCTCTACCGTCTGGCTGCATTTCAAAATCCTTCACAGTCAGTGATGTAGCGGTAAATAAAAGCTGGATAAACAATGCTTTCATGTCAGCAATCATTTGCATATGCCTTCTTTTTACCTTAAAATACCTTATCCTCTTGTAAACCAATGTTAGTCTGATCCTGCTCACTAAGATTTGGTCATATTCTGTTTATTCAGTCTGTAAACGATCCAAACGAAACAGAACTTCAGTGAAAACACAATCAATTACGTTTGATTTGGTTAGATTTCCCTGAGCAACCACTGATTTCTACAACTATATCAACAAAGGCTGTGACGCTTTATTAATGATTTCACACCCTGTTTGTCTGACTTTTGCTTTCGACTCCTTTCTTTGAAAGTCTAGTTTGGAACTTGAAAGGCCTCTGAACATTACATGAGGTCAATGCTGCTGCTGTCACCGCCATTAGTGACCAGGAGGAGATAAGTGCTCCTTTTTACGCTCTTAGCTCGCTCTATTTTTCCTCAAGATAAAAGAGTGCAGTATTTAGCATTAAGTGGGCTGCTGGCATCTCCGCTCTGCTCAATACCTGCACGTCAGAGCCAGCAGGAAGTGGTGCACTTTCCCTCTTATCCTGATCTAATGTTTTTTAAACCAGTTCTGAGGATGAAAGAGAAGTCTGTGTTTTTAGTAAAGTCAATGTAAGAAGAGAAGAACATAGAGAGAAGGAAAGAGGAAGAAAGGGACTGCGCCACAACATATTAATGACGGTCTGTCATTGTTGTTAAACCCTTCACATCTATTTTACACACACACACACACACACACACACACACACACACACACACACACACCTCTGATCATTTATGTTCATATGCAAAGTTCTGCTCAGTGCCAATGCCATCATCTTCCTCTGACCTTAACACACTGGTGTAAGTATGAACAGAAGGGTTATGTAGTGGGTTGAACCCTGCGAGTCATAAAGCGATGATTCAGATTCACATCAATTTTCTTACATTTCTCATAAAATATAATATACTGAAGAAATGCAAATTAAACTGTTAAGTCTCTGTATGTAGTCTTTCAACTAAAGTGGGGTTGGAAACTTAATTACAAATAACATACACACCACTATTGACTTTATAACACTTTTATTTAATATATTCAGATGTAAATTTATAATATCAACCAATTATTCACAAATAGTTCTTCAGAGCCCCGGGATGATCTAAAGAACTGAAACTGGCATTTCTCCATTGGTCTATCTTGCCTGTTAAGGTTACTATAATGAGGAGGTGATGATGTCACCTCTGAAAGAGGGGGGGTTGTGGAGCTGAGGGGGGGTGGTCTGTTGTTTTTTAGCTTGTATCTTCCAATTCAGTTTCATCTTGTTTTCCACAGTATTCTCCATATAGTTCTGACAACATATGTGGACAAACATTATACTATCTTTTATGTCAGAATCCCAACTATACAGTGTATTAATAAGTCAAATCAAAACATGCCACAAAGGTCAATGAATCTTTACCAGAAGTGACGGTGCAACGGAGCAGATGAAGAAAAATCCACCTTCAAACTGCCAGTAATCAGCTGGATCCTTGGAGCATCTGGGGAGAAAAGAAATAACAGGAGACACTAAGATTTACTGTCAAGTCCTTAAA